ACGGTGTCAACTCGTGTCACTGTAGTGCCTCTGATCAGGAGACCCTAGGGTTTCGCTCCCCACTGTGGCAGGATTTTCGACACTGACTAGTCATCTAGGTCTAACTCAGCCTCTGTCTGGAGGAGAATTCTCTCTGCCGGCTGCTCTGATCGGTAGTTTTTCGTGGTTTCACCGATCAATAGCAGGGGACTGCCGGAGCAGAAACATATCAAACGAACCACGGACCGCCCGCGATCTTGTCTTTCTTTTTGGTGGTCCTATCCTCACTCTTTATTTACACACACTCACATGTACAACACTACCACACATGCCGGAAAACCATTTGGAAGATTAGAGCCTGTCCCGACCGAGACGCTGCCATACTGGTGGGAGATACCTGGTTGGGGAAAATCCCACTCGCCGCCGTGGAGGACAGCACCGGATCTCACCATCCATCGGGGAAATATCACCCTCGCCTCCGCAATTAAAACAAGCTCTACACTTACGGAACTTTCCGTGCCCCGAATCACGAATTAATTAATTAATCAACCAATAAAAGCGATTAACGGACGGCAGATTACGGACAGTAGAAAGACCACGTGGTCATCGCTGGGACCAAAGACCCCGACCTGAGAAGCTGCAGGTCTGCGACAGCAATTTTTTCTCGGAATTGGGGATTAAATGTCAAGAAAAACACGTCACTTATTCTTTCTATAGCTAAAAGTTATTTCGGCGTTCACGTGCACTTAGAAAACATGTTTTCTTATGAACCACTATACCCTGCCTCGCGCTGTTCCAGTTTCTCCGTGTACACCCCTGTCTGGATTTGTAGGGGAAGTGAGAGCTGATGAAGGGGAATTTGCCTGAGCGCCGAGCTTCCCAGGCGGGCAAGTAGTTCGGGCGAGCGCAGGTTGATATGACTGAAAGATCTTCTTCTTCTTCTTAAAACGTCTAAGACTTGTTCCTTTCGAAGAATTAGAACTAGTATTTTACATCTTCACCTTGATCTGCCAACTTCTCTCCTTCCCCTCGGCCTTTCATCTCTATTAAACATCCCGATTTTTTTCTCCTCCATTCTCTCAATATAATGGTTCCATTTCTTTTTTCGATCTGCTACCCATTCCGTAATGGGCTTAACCTTGCACTCTTCCCTGATATTTCTGTTTCTTTCGTTATCCAGCAGAGTGTGATTTGTAATTTTTCTCAGAACTCTCATTTCGGCGACCTCATGTTGTTGTTGGGTACGTTTCGTTTCGCGTTTCTCCTGCTTATGTTAATATTGGTCTAATTATTGATTGATATATTCTAACCTTCGAGTCCCTTTTTAGATGTTTATTATGCCTGGGAGATGTAACTTCAAATTCCCCATCGCACGTCATTCACAGTTTTTAACTGTTTTTGACATAAAGAAATGAATAAAGAGGGCATCCAAGGCCGAGATTCAAAGGTACGAACTCCCGGTCTAAGCTGGCATTTCCACAGCGACATGCGCTATCACATCCAATTATTTGTCCATTATGAAAACAAATCTTTAAAAAAAAGAGTATCCACAAGCATGAAATGAGTTATGAGAGCAATTTCTCCCGGCTGTAAACGTTGCAGGACATTGGCATGAAGTGTGAAACAATAGGCGAAAAACTGTTTTATCTGTCGCGTAACACCCGTGATGAAAGTTTCTTCACATCGGGTTTTTACTTTCACGTCCGCTTCCTAGAATACACAACGTTACGTAACAGATTATGAAAGAGATTTTGAAATGTTAACGGAAATGTGCGTTTTGAAGGATCTCAGATTCCGCAAAAGTGAGGTTTTTAATTGCGTCTGTTCGTCCGTCTTTCTGGCCGTCCATCTGCCTCTATCAATAAGTTGTCTGTTTTCCTGTATGTCTGTTTGTCTGTCTGTCTGTTGGTCTGTCTGTTTGTCCGTCTGGCTGTTTGTCAATCTGTCTCTCTGCCTGTTTGTCTGTTTGTATGTGTGTCTGTATGTCTGTCTGATTGTCTGTCTGTCTGACTGTCTGCATGTTTGTTTGTTAATCTGTTTGTTTGTCATTCTCTTTGTGTGTCTGTGAGTGTTTGTATGTCTGCGTGTTTGTTTGTGAGTCCGTTTGTGTGTGTGTTTATCTGCCTGCCTGCCTCTCCCAACGTCTGACTGTAAATGGGTCTGTTAGTTAGTGTACGTAATAGTTCGTATCCCTGTTCGACTCTTCATCTATTCATATGTATTCTCGGAACTAGCTCGTAAACTATGTCTGAACAATACAGTGGTCTTAATGCCAAAATCCTGGTAATCAGCTGGGAAACTGTTTGCCACAGTCACCTATATGAAATAATAGCATTCTCTTGGAGATTATCGTCTCCTATATTATTTCTCCTATATATTGAAACGAAGAACGTTTCTGCATACTATCAATCAAAATTGATTACTAATTCTAATTAAAAGAAGCACTAAATCGATCAGCGTAGTAACGCCGCCGCCGCCACCGCTGCCACCAACGGTCAAATCGGGGGGTAGACGGGCGAGGCGTGTGACGGTTGGAGGGTATAGGCAGAGAGGCCGCGAGCGCAACACGGACGGACTGTGCTGCCTCAAGCAAGTTTATAGTGTTATTACCAACAGTGTGGAATTGATTGTAGCCATTAAGTGGGAGAGTAGAGGCGATAAAAATTGATAATCAGGTGATTAGGAGAAATGGAAGTGTGCACCAGGACCGGCATCAGTGAAAACATTAATACTGGAGTTTGAGTGGCCGACAGACACGCGTTCCATGTCCGCCCGGGTGTGATGCAGCAGCGGGCCGCACCGTGCGAACATTCGAGGGGGATTGAGAAGAACTGCTGTGATCGGAACTGCCGACGGGACGCAATTGCGCGTCGTGCATGTTAGTATATGTGACATTGCTTGTACTGGCTGGGGGGGGGTGGACCCCGGCGAGCTCGTCGGCCATCGCGTTGGTGGGCTAGCGGAGTCGACCGCCGAGGGAGAGCGATTTCCCGACAAACTTCGGGGCGGACCGAAGTCTGCCGAACACGCCGCCGCCATTGCCACGGCGGCCCCGCTCGCCTCCAGCCAGCCGGCGGTCATCGAAAGCCTCAAGGTAGCGTTACTTGTGCACGAATCACTAAAGGCCTTGCGCACTTAGTATTGTAAAGAATTTTTGTACATAGTGTTTCAATCATTAAACTTTTAATTGCACAAAAGAGTTTCTTCGATCATTCTTCCAATGCAGCGTCAAACCCCTGGAGCCCATTCACGAGAATGTACCCGTCCTTTATATCATTTTATTTGTCGTGAGAGTACCGTTTCCCAGGTACGTCACAATATACATACCATTTACGGCTCTCAGAAGCAACTGATTTTTATAAATGAGGTCTTTAAAGAAAGATAATTTCACGGAGACGTGACAAATTGTACTTTGACTTTAAAAATATAAAAGGATTTGTTTAAAAAACGCATATAAATATCCATGTCAAATGCAACCCGCAACACTCAGTCAGCTAAATCGATGAATACCACCTAAACAAAGCGTTCTAGGCCCTTATTCACTAAAATTGTGAGGCCAAAGGCCTCCATGAAACGCTCCTCACACCGTGATGTTCATAATGATGCATTCGTTGACATTTTATGAAATTTTTGTTGATTCGGAACTTATCAACAGTATCAATGCCACCTATATTTCAACCCTTGGTGATGGTGGCTATCATCGTAGTGTCACGCTTAGAAGGCTTAGATTCCTCTATCTTGTATTATTTATACTTTCTCTGAGCATCGTGGTTGGCGCAGACTGACGAGGTTTATTTGCATAATTATTAATTGAAGATTAGTTCTCGCAGCAACAACTGGAAGTACTATTAATAGTTGCTTGACACCGATGACGACTCTTTCTTATGCGTGTAGTGAGAACATTCATTTAACCTTTTGCCGAGGCCTACAAGTGCTGTGTACCTAATTGCGGCGGAACGTGGGTGTACAAGTTAAGAGTAAAGACGGGTCTTGTTAAGTTTGGATGTGTTTTACCTGCACCAATATTATCAGCAATGATCCGGCGAAACTTTCAAACCAGCGTAATCAGTCACGCAACCTCCTTAAGAGTGAAATCTTTTTAAAATATTTTTGTGACTATCACGAAAAGTGAAAACCTAACTGACAAAGACTATTGAATTATTACTTCAAATATTCTGAAGGATGTGTTTGAATTGTTCCAAGAAATCTGTCAATAATTCTGAATAAATATTTTGTGAAAATTTATTTTCAACATCAATTTACAATGTTTTTTGTTTTTATTTGATATTGTGTTAGTAAATTCACCTAAACAATAGTCATCTATTGTTTTTTTCTCAAAACTGGATTTATATGGGTTTCTGCACACATTCACACGTTGTGGCACTACATTACCACACGCGTCGTGGGACACCAGTCGGAAGATTAGAGCTCGTCCCGGCTGGGATGGTGCAACGCTGGGGGGAGATACCTGGTTGGAGAAATCCCTTCTAGAAAACGTATAGGTTGGCGCCGCATCACGCCATTCAGCGGGGGGAAAGTAATGCATAACTAATGTATCACTATTACTGGACTGATGACTATCAGTTGACGCGACCTAAATCACTAACCAATTAAACGAGTGCCTGCGATCGGAATTTGTGGGGGAAAAACGCCATCGTAAAAGAAATATACTTTCATGTACCTTATGTAAAACAAATATATTGTCATATACTACATGTTTTCAGTGCAATCTCAGTAATATCAAACCTACATGATATTTTAGCCTCTTCAAAGAAATCTTTGTTTGGAGACGAGTTTTGTAGCTCATATCGCATTTTTCAATCTTTTTGTCGAAAAAAAAACACTTTAGTTTTTAAAAATTCTCCCGCGTCATTTCAGGTCGAGCGCCTGACTAATGATTTTTACTGATGGAGCAAAACCTATCCTCACGCCCTGCGCACCGGAAGTGGCACTGACGTGCGGCGGAAGTGGACCTTCATAAATGAGTTGCCTGTGCGCTGCCAGAGTCCTTGATCGCGTCTGCCGTTCGTGCTCTGTCCGTTTGTACGAACGAAAGACTTCAAGCGTTGCTCAGTCGCCATGAGGACCCGTGTGGCAATTGTTTCGGGCGTCGCTGCTTTCGTGGTGCTGTTGTTTTGTGTTGCGGTGAGTCGAATGTAGCGATAGATAGGGTAATTGATTCCTTGATTGTGCGCTGATGGGATCTTCGATGAAAGAAGCCTGGTTGATGCAGTGATTGAGATATTGGCTGACTGATATATTGGCTGACTGTTATATTGGCTGACTGTTATATTGGCTGACTGTTATATTGGCTGACTGATAAATTGGCTGACTGATATATTGGATGACTGGTACATTGGCTGACTGGTACATTGGCTGACTGGTACATTGGCTGACTGGTACATTGGCTGACTGGTACATTGGCTGAATGATATATTGGCGGACTGATATATTGGCGGACTGATATATTGGCTGATTAGTATAATTGATTGATAATTGACTGATATAATTGATTGATAGAGTCATATTCTGATTAAGCCTAGGAAAACTTATTAGAATCTGTAGGTTTAATACAGTTCGACTCTGAAGCTAACTATTTCGGCTTCTTCTTTCCATATTGTTAGAACGTTCACCCTGTATTTAGATTCCTGTCTCCTACCTGCAAATACACTCACGACTGAAGAATAATAATGTGCATTAGGATGATTTGTGCAATCAAGATGAATCCTTTCTTTGAATTTTTATTCAATGGGTAGACAGTGTTTACTTTGTGTTACCTCCTCGATTTCCCACTCCACAGAAAAACCTCAGCTCTGACATAAGAGACAAGTTCGAGCTTTGCGAATGTGAAAATGAGACTAGTGAACCATTAGTATTTAAGCGAAAGCCCCACCGCTACATTCAAGCCATTTAACACTTTTATGCAAATAGTGTCCAAGCAGAAATTTCATATAACCAAATTATACATGTTACATGAGACCTTATTGATACGCAACTCATCCTGCATTGGTGTTTGGCAGGTTCTTTCTCTCACTATTTATCTCCCTCTCTCTTCCTCTCTCCATCTCTCTTCCTCTATTTCCATCTCTCTACATCTCTCTTCCCCTCTCTCCCTCTTTGTCCCTCACTCTCACTGTCTCTCCCTTCTCTCACCCCTCTCCCACCTTCTCCCCCCTCCCCTCCTTCTCTCACCTCCCTTTCTTCTCTCACCTTTCTCCTCTCGCCCTTCCCTCTCCTTCTCTCCCTCTTTCCCTCCCTCTCTCCCCCTCTCTATCTCTCTCTCCCTCCCTCTCCTTCTCTATCTCCCTACCCCTCCCTTTCTCTCCCCTCTCTCTCGTGTAATTAGCTCGTGCAAACAGGATATTTTGCCTTGAGGAAGGTCCCAGTATGACGGCCAAAACGTGGGCAACTATCCAAAGGACGCGGCGACACCCGGACAACCAAGTATCTAAAAGACGACACAGCCATCCAAAACAATATTGAGTCTCTCTCGCTCCATTGCAAACATTGCTCTGCCCACCTGGCTGTATTTCTATTCTTTCATTACCTGACATAAATAAATCACAAAAATGAAGAGACCTTTCTTCATTTTGAAATGAAAAGATTCGGGTCAATGTGATATTGTCAGGAAATCTCGAACGTGACAATAGAATAGCTCTGATGGGATCATCCGCGTGCCAGACAAACAGTTTCTATTGTCATCACTGTAAGCGTTATAAGTATGCCAAGTGTCTTCACCCTCCTCAAATTCTCCGAGTTGCTTATAATCTTGAAGGAGAGAGAGCCATTGCAGTTGTGGCTTGCAAACGTTTCATGTAAGTTATTGTTTTGTGAAACTAGCGATACCTCATAGGCAGGTGTCCTCACAACCGTAGGTTTTGATATATGCCTTTCATGCAGATGTTTGAATTAAAATGTACTTCTCAAGCAGAATTATTTATTCAATTGATTTTTATCTTTGAAATAGTTTTCTGTAATGTTTTATGGATTTTTACATTCATCATCAATTGCTTAAAAGATTAATTTACGTTAAAGTTGATAAAATCCACAAATATATTGAATGTAGAAGAACAAATGCGAAAAAACAATACATATTCTAATTCACGATTAGAAGGTGAGTTATTGACGCGTTTTAGTCATGTATTCCTCTGATGCAGATATTCGCACTGAAGAAGAAAAAATCATGTTTCCACGTGAGTGTTAAGGTTACTGATACCCGGGATCGCAAAAAAACGTCGATGTTCTTAAAATATCAATACTTTCGAGCAGAAACATCGATATTATAACATATAGATGTGTTCTACAGAGCGATATATTTGTTCAGAAAAATCTATGTTTTCAGAAGCAATTTATCAAGATATAAAAAAATTCCATCGAATTGTTTGTGTGTGCATTGCTCGCAATGAACAGCCATTGACAACTCATTGTTGTCACTCCCTATCCTGCGTGAAACAGTTTGCTATTCGCAACATTTCTCCAGTGTTATTACATTTTTTATTACTTTTTACATGGTAATATCGTTAAACTACATTTTGAATCTTGGTTACATATAAAAATGGTTAGAAAATGAAGATGGCAGTCAAATTGAAAGTAGAGTATCCTTTAAACTAATATTGACCTGTTATGTATCACATTAGAACCAATACATTTTACTTCGAAATCATTCATCAAAGTAAAAAAATCTTTATTTTAAACTTTTATGTTTTGTCGACGATTTCATTGACATCGAATACCTTTAGTAATGTATCGACGTATCGATGTTTTGCCACCACTACCTGTTTCTGTTGTCAGTCAACTGTGGGAGAGGAAGAAGGTGAATGCAACGAGCGCTGCCAACAATTCAAAAAGAAATTCTTAGAATTCAAGAAGGACGTGGAGGAATGCCGCAGGCAGACCAACTACAACCGGCAAAAAGGTGAGATTACTGTGCGGCACACGGGCTGAGGCGACTCGGAGAAACAGTTGTTGTCGTTGCAGAGTTGGTGTCCGAGAGGTCTCACCTTTCACCGAAAGCTCCCTTTCACCACCCCCATACACTACCACGGTCATCCTCCTTCACCACCCTCTTTCACCGCCCCTTTCACCGCCCCTTTCACCACCCTTTTCACCGCCCCTTTCACCACCCTTTTCACCTCCCCTTTCACCTTCCCTTTCACCGCCCCCATTCACCGCCATCTTTTACCGCCCTCTTTCACCGCCTCCTTTCACCGCCCCCTTTCACCGCCCCCTTTCATCGCCCCCTTTCACCGCCCCCGCCCTTCGGGTCCTTTTGTCGCAAGCTACCTAACCACTTTCCAGGAAAAAGAACGCCCTTTCGCTGCTATTAGGTCCCCTTCCGGTATCGCCACTGCCACCCGCTTCCGATAAGCGGCAGGACACTCCCCACACAGCCACCGCTGCACGCCACCGCCGCACCACTGCCCGTCGTGGAAGGTGAATGGGTCTGCATGGGTAGGTTTTAACGACCTTCCAGCGACGACGAACAAACAGAAACGCCACGACCGGCGGCGCCATCGTTTACCATCGTTTAAAGCTGTGTTCTGATAGCGATGGTGCGTACGCCCTCCTGCGTTTCTTGTGAAGGTTCGTCGCCGAACGCCGCAACGCCTCAACCTAGGGAGCAAACTTTCTCATCGTCACACAGTGGCAGATACCGGAACATTGCGCGGAAAGCGCTCAATTAATTTATGCCCCGACCGGGAATCAAACCCGGAGTTGCGCCGTGGAAAGCGAGACCGCTAACCAACCAACAATGGCCTTGTTTCTACCAGTGTTTCTAAGAAATTAAAAATAATATTAATACTAACTAATATTAAGATGCAATGAAAGCATTGTTTTTAACGCTTGTGAATTCTTTGCTATAGGATCTCCATGGCCCAAGAAAGATTGCAACGCGACTGTCGATGAAGGCCACGTGGTAAGTAATTTTTTTTTCCGGACATTTTCTTAGTTTACCGAGGTGTTATTACTTTCGAACATTGTCTTTATTTCAATATCTCGAGCTCTACAATCATATTTTGCAAGATCTCGAGAATGGATATGTTTCAACTTTGATTTTTTAAATTGTTTGGGAAAGTCAGAGGTACTGTCGTGTGGTTGTACAGATGCGAACAATTGAAGCTTGCTGCATAAAGAGATTATGGTCCAGACTCCTCCATAGTGATGAACATGTTTGCGGTGAATCGAATTAGATGTTAGTAGAATGTCAGATTCAAGTTATAGTTATCGGTGATTCCCTGTCTCCCAAGGATGATGTGGAAAGGAAAGCTATTTTAATGCTCGGGTAAGGGAGGAAATCAACTCCATTTTCCTAGTGGATTGCAAGTTGGAGGTACTTGGAAGGATGAAATAAACTGCAAAGTTGGTTGAACAAATATTTTTCTATAAAATTCCAATTGGCCACTATCAAGACACTTCCACGTATTAATATAACATGAGGTCAAGAAAATAAGAAATCGTCCAAAAATTTAATTTATTTACTTGCTCCGTATGGTATTCATGGCTTTTGGTAGAATAACTCTGCTGGCGTCGTTCCTATTGGATCCAAACTTGGCTTATAGTCTATAGGGTAGTGTCAATTAAAGGGCTTTGCATAAAACATCACTAGTCCAAAAATCCAATTTGTGGAAACGAGAAAAGTCCGTCCACCTTTCTAACTCAGCAAGATACATGAAATTTTATATTGTACGTACATAAATACTTTTACACAGTATAAAACATAAAACGCAGTAGTGAACAAATAAAATAATGATATTTTACATGTTACGAGAACAAGGAAAATGGATATATATTATTTTGGCTTGAAAATTGCACATTATATCAATATAACATTTGCTATCATGCATATATCAACACAAGGTACTAGAAACTTGGAAAAATTAAATTACAAGTATTTTACATATTACATTGTTATTCTTGCATACAATGAAAACAATTGAATCTCCAACAAACACTTCAACAAAGCTTTTTTAATATAGTCTAGATTAACTAAAACCTGCAATTGGACATTGATGTTCATCCAGAATCACTTACTTATCTTTGGGACCAATGCACTTTAAGTCGAGTCGATATTACCCGCTGATGTATAAAAGTTCACACTACAAGGTGGCATTACTAAATTCATTTTCTCAATTTTCGACTAATACTATTTTCTAGAAACCATTCAAATGAGTTGGGTTTATGAATGACCTAAGGGACAATTCTGCATGAAGATATAGGTAGGTGACTCAGGGTGTCAAATTGACTGATATCGAATACCGAGGACATGGACGTCGGTGTAAACCTTAGCGGGTAAATAGATGTTAAAACAAGCCTAAAAATGTTGATGATAGTAGGACAGTGCAAAGTAATCCACGTTATGGCAAACGTTAACTCACTCCACAGTCATGAAAATATCCTTCCTTTCACCTTTAAATTATCTCCCGCGCCCTCAGATTTCACGAATTGGTTAAGCAGGAAGGATCCCGTAACAAACTCTGTGTTTGCTTGCTTGCTGCCTGTCTCCCTGCCATTCAGGTGTTTTAAAAATATGTCCCTCTTTTGCAGAAAGCGATGGTGTGCTGGAATCGACTTAAAGGATTGGTAAGTACTATTAATTTGAAGAATAGAGTTTCATAATTGCAGCTGTATGAGATCTTGAGGTATTGAGAAAATACATTTTCGAATATCTAAATAAATGCTATCAATAAAAAATGTTTCAACAGTGTACGACTAATTAATGACCTGTTCTTATAATGTAGACTTGAACATTTACAAATTCACAGCTTTTGAATTCATTAAAAATAATGGAAAAAAAGAAAAAAATTTAAAATTCAAAATATGTAATGCTTATGTATGTCATAAGCAAGTTGAATTAGTTATGTATTTGAGAAAATATCTTTAATAATAAATATACTACGCGTTATATTATTACTATTTTACTACTATACGTTATTTATTACTCTATTCATGGAAACGAATATTAGTTTCCAATTAAATTAATATTTTTGTTACATTTGATGTCCAATTGATATTATTGTTCGAAGTACATTAAGTACAAGGGGAAAATAAGATATTCAGTCAATATAATTAATTGATTGAAGGTTAATTATTTATATTGTAATGAATTACTACGTGATAACGAAAACAAAGCATCCTCAATACTTATTAATACTAAGTCTTCGAATATCTTTTACTTTATTGTCCATTATAAACGAAGAAAATTAGATTAGTAATATCTCCAATGAAAGATTGAAACGTTACTTATTAACGTTAACTAAATTATCAGTGCTTCACAATTTAAGCATGCTGAGGTAAAGTTTTAACTAATATAAAAGAACACAAAATTATTAGGAATTGTACGGTTTGTAAATTATGCAAGAAAGTAAAAATAGTTTAATCAAAGAGAATACTGAAATAATCACATAACATTCGTTTCCTTTATAAGCGGTATGTAACAACGATTTTCTTCAATTTTCTGCAGCTCAACTAGTCGGAATAGGGAATTACGGACGGTTGTTTAGAAACTAATAAAAGGGAATAGTTTAGATACTGTATGAAGTTTACTCGTTTAGTTCGTGTAGACACCCGGAGAGGTGGCTTAGGGTATCAACTGATGTCACTGCAGTTCCTCTAACCGGTAGGTCCTAGGTTCAAGTCCCAATGGTTGCAGGATTTTCGACACTCAGCCGCAGATAAATGCCAGGCGAATGCCGAAGTGTACACTAACATACTGGACACGGACCGCACGTGATATTTCCTTCCCCTTCCGTGTTCTATCCTCACCTCTTATTGTACTAACACACTTGCAGTTACATCCAGTAAACTACCGACCATTCCAGTATACAGGTCGGGATCTTAGAACTGATCCCGGCTAAGGCGAAGCCTCGTTGGTGACAGATACCTGGTGGGGGAAAACCCCGGCAGGTAGGTCGGCGCACAATCTCACCATACAGCGTAGTAAGATACGAGTAAGCCGAGTAAAGAACATGCACTACATCTGTGGGACTAATGATCAGAGCAGTTGAAACACTCGTAAACACGAAATAACGAAACCTTCCTTCCGTCGGCAGTTGAACCGGGACTACACCGTCAACGTGACGTGGTGGAACAACCACACGCAGAACAAAATGGACAAGTGCATCGCCTATCGCCAGATGGTGACGGCGGGCGACATCGACGAGAACCGCCATTTCGAGCGCAGCTGCAATCGCACCTCCACCATCCGCCAGGCCTTGGAGAAGTGCCTGCGCGAGGGTGTGTACCTGCGCACTTAGCTAGTGCACAACAAATGCGTTCTTTGGCACATTGCATTCAACCTTTTGCATGTCAAATTCTTCCTTTGGCACATTAACCATTACACCTTTTGCATGTCAAAATTCTTCCTTATGGCACATTACATTCAACCTTGCATGACAAATCCTTCCTGGCACATTACATTCATCGCGAGTGAGCAAACCTCACCACCTCTTCCGCAGGCCGTGGACAAGTGCCTGTACGAGGGTAGGCGCCTACGCGTTCAGCCTTGGGCGAAAAAGAATGCGTTCTTTTAAAACATTCCGCATTTAATCTTTTGCACTTCAAATCGTCATTTAAGAATTAATTATTGTTTTTTGTACTTAAGTTCGTTACTTGTACAATAGATTTTTCATTTTGTACATTTAGTTCTCCTTTGGTAATTTTTTTTCACATTAAATTTCTTCTTATTTCTACATTCCAGTTTTCACCTCTATATTAACTTACTTTTTCCAATAAACTCTTCTTTTTCGCCATTAATTCTCCTTTGTACTTTAAACAGTTTTTTCCGTCGCCATTTAAGATTTGCACGTCAAATTCTTCATGACGCACCTCATGTTTCGCTTTCTTTGAAGATGCACCATATTCTTTCATGCACTCCCTGAACACAAACTAGCATTTCAAAGGAGCTTCTCAGGCATTGTGAGGGTAAGTCTTGGGTTCGAAGCCCGCCGTTAACGTAATTTTTTGGCTACATTGTAAGTGAATTAGTACCACAGAATTATTATGTTTTACTTGAATTTCCATTGTGACGGAGTTATACTAGCGGCCATTTGCTCTCGCTTTTTTTATGAATACCATGTGGAATTCCGAAGTAGTCTCCTAACAAGCAACGTATGAACATATCCTTGATATTTTCTTCTTATTAATCTCCTTTCTTTTTTCCTCACATACGCATACACACGCACACACCACTTGCATGCGCTACTCCAACATTTGTTGAGCCCATCTGGAATGGTACCTAGGAAGATTCGACTAATCAGCGCCAGATATCACTTTCCAGCGGGGAAAAGACTTCACTATTGTCAAGATTAAACTATGCACCTACCTTATGTGGACTGATGGACCATGTAGTTGACATTGCCCGAGTAATGCTCAATGCCATCTCGCTTACTCACGGTGTTACTCACTCACTGGGTAACTTATACGTCGCACTTATTAAACTCGTCACTTATACCCGTCACTTATTCACCTTCACTTATTCACCCTCACTTATTCACCTGTCACATATTCAACTGTCACATATCAACGCTCACTTATTCACCCGTCTCTTCTTCACCTGTCACATATTCCCCGTCACAATCACCCATACATATTTCACCCGTCATTTATTCACCCGTCATTTTTCTCCCGTCTCTTTATTCTTCCGTATCTTATTCTTCCGTCTCTTATTCTCCCGTCTCTTATTCTCCCGTTCCTCTTATTCTCTCCGTCTCTTAATTCAACCAGATATTTATTATTCACTTATTCACTCGTCACTTAATTGATCATACTTATTCTCTTCTCTGTCAATCACATTCTCACACACATGGTCTCTATGTCTCACTCATTCCTTTCCACTCACGCTGCTTCCCTCTGGCGTGCTGGCGCGCGAATGAAGCGGGTGCGCGTCTGGCTGCGCGCAGGGCAGGCGCGGAGCAGGCTTGACGAGGGCGTTGTATTTCTCCGTCTCTTATTCTTCCCTCTCTTATTCTCCGTCTCTTATTCTCCGTCTCTATTCTCCCGTCTCTTATTCTCCCGTCTTATTCTCCGTTCTCTCATTCACAGATCTTATGTTATTTATCACTTATTCACTCGTCCACTGTATTCACTCTCACTTATTCACTTGTCCTTATTCACTCGTCACTTACTACACTTCATAAACTTTCTCTTCTCTCTGTCAATACATTGCTCACACACATGGTCCAATCTCACTCATTCCTTTCTCCTCACGTGCTTTCCCTCTGGCATGCTGGTCGCGTGAATGGAAGGCGTTGGCGCGTGGCTGCGCGCAGGGCAAGGCGCGGAGCAGGCTGACGAGGGGCGTGGCTATTCTCCCGTCTCTTATTTCTTCCCTCTCTTATCTCCCGTCTCTATATTCTCCCGTCTCTTATTCACCAGATGCTTATTTATTTGTCACTATTTACTATTCACTTATTTCACTTCGTCACTATATTTAAACTCGTCACTTATTCACTTGTTCACTTATTCATCGTCATTCTCCTCATAACTTTTCTCTTCTTGTCAATCACATTCTCAACACATGGTCCCATTCTCACTCATTCCCTGTTCTCACTCACGTGCTTCCCCTCTGGCATGCTGGCGCGTGAATGAAGGCGTGTGGCGCGTGGCTGCGCGCAGGGCAGGCGGCGGAGCAGGCTGACGAGGCGCAGTGTATTCTCCCCGTCTCTTATTCTTCCCTCCCTCTTATTCTCCCGTCTTTTATTCTCCCGTCTCTTATTCACCAGATTTGCTTATTTATTTGTCATTATTTACTCATCACTTATTCACTCGTCACTTATTTACTTCGTCACTTATTCACTTGTCACTTATTCACTCGTCACTACTCACTCATAAACTTTTCTCTTCTCTGTCAATCACATTCTCACACATATGGTCCATTCTCACTCATCCCTTTCTCATCTCACGTGCTTCCCCTCGGGCATGCTGGCGCAGGTGAATGAAGGCGGGTGGCGCGTGGCTGCGCGCAGGGCAGGCGGCGGAGCAGGCTGACGAGGGCGTGAGCGCCATGCGCGCCATGCTGCGCTGCTACTGCCTCACCAACGCCGAGTTCTGGAAGAACCGCTCTCGCGCCTGGGGCAAGGGCCAGGGCCAGGGCAAGGGCAAGGACGACGGGGGCGACAGCAACGACGCCCCGGAGCGCTGACGGAAGGTACGACTTGTACTTGCCACTTATTCACTCATCGCTGTTTCACTTACGCGCTTTCTCTCTTTCTTTCCGGCACACACTTTCTCACTCATTCACACGCACTTTATCACTCATTCACTCACACACTTTCTCTCTCACACGCATACAAATTCTCTCACACACACACTTTCTCACTCACTCACTCTCACTCTCTCTCTCTCTCCCACACACACTTTCTCTCCAATGCACTTTCTCGCTCCCTCATGCATACACTTTCTCACTGGTTCACACACACGAACTCACTCATTCACACCTTCTCATACATTCACTCACTCACACACACTTTCTCACTCACACACATACTTTCTCTCTCACTCATACACTTTATCACTCACTCATACACTTTCTCACTCATGCATACAATTTCTCACTCATTCACTTTCTCACTCTATTTCTCACTCATTCACTTTCTCACTCTATTTCTCACTCACTCACTCCTTCCCTCGCGTGCTTCTCACGTTGACATCGATAAAAATATTGATGTACAAATATTGAACACACTGATGTCGATGGTTTTTGAGCATCAGTGTTTTGTGCTCGATATTTTTACATTTTGGATTTTTTTTTTTTCGTGGATGAAAAATTTCCGTAAAGTGAAAGTAATGAAATAATAACTGATGATACCACTGTGTGTCTGAATCAAACAAATGCGGTTTGTAGTATCTTCATCGAACAGACTACAATCTCTCGCCTAATGCCCTAATTTTTTTGATGATCCTAATGCCCTGCTTTTTTTTTTCGTCTTGACTTGACGAGATCCGGACTGTGGAAAATGGCTTCAAACTTGTTTCTTTAATTTTTTTCTCAGCTAGAAGGCTTATAGAAATCTCAGTCCTAATTTTGTAAAGTTCAAAGGTTTTTCGGCGTCTTCCGACAACTAGAATTACGAAGATAGAGATTTTTCTTGAAAGAAATCTGTTCTTTAAAGATAGATCTAAAAAAGTTCATGTACATTCTTATCAAAATATGAGTAATATTCGCGGGTTTTGTGCCAAGTAAAAGCGATTTTAAAAATAAGATTTTCCGAAAAATGTCCCCAACTTTTTCTGTATTATGTATGGGATACAGAAAAGGATGCTTATAAAAATGGCGCAAGACTGATTTTCGTTGAACTCTCTAAATTTTTGAAAGTTGCAAAATCTACACATACTGCGAGAAAGTATGAGCTGTTGTTATTTCGTTCCTGTATGTGCTATGTCCAATACTAGTTTATATATTCTTTATAATTATAGTTATACACATGTTTGCCTTATAACTCAAAGTCAGTGTGATGTAAGACTATTTGCTTCGTAATATTTTAAAAAGTTTTTCAATTCTTTTCTGAAAACAGGATTGTATGCTTTCAATGACGGCAGCACAAATTCATGTTTCCTTTACATCATACTTTATGCGAGTGAATCATAAAATGCTCATTACAATTGTTCTTCGCTTGTTTATGCAGCCAACTCAGAGGCAGACACACAACTGAGAAGAATCGACAGTCGATGCCTGCTTTTGAAGACTAGCAAGCGCTTAGCGTATATGTGTCCATTGCCAAATAAAGTGAGATTAACTCTAAACGCGTTTTATTTTAATCCCATACTCTACTGCAAAATGCTCCGTTGGTACGTTGGATTTAAGTAGGAAGCGTGCCCCTTTACTTGCTGTGTATATGCTCCAGCTCACGAAGACTATCATATCGATCCAGAAAACCGGCTAGGTGGCTCAGGGCATCAGCTGACATCATTGCAGTGCTTCTGACCTGGAGATACTATAAGAGGTTCACTCACGCCATTGACAGGCTTTTCCACACTACATAGCTAGGTCGAATGCAGCCGCTGTCTGGAGGAGAATTCTACCGGTCGGCTGCTCTGATCTGTAGTAAAGCATTACGCCCTGAAGAAGGTCGCAGAATGGCGACCGAAACGTCGGCACCTTCGCCATGGACGCCCCGGACAGCCGAGTAAATACTGACTCCGGCCGCGGAAGCCTACGCTCTCATCGGAAAAGTACTCTAAGACCGCGTGCGATCTTTCCTTCCCCTTCCTTGTCCTCTCTTCTCCATTACTTATACACACATTTACACTAACATGCATCATGAGCTGAGAGCTTGTTTCGGCTCGAGCGGTGCCCCGCTGGTGGGAGAAACCTGCGTGAGGAAAATCTCCGCAAGTCGACTTCAATCGGCGCTGGATCACACCATCCAGTGAGGGGAAAGCACTGCTCCCTCGCGCAATAAAAATATGCACTACGGTTGCGGGACTCATGAGCTTAGCCGTTTAGCTTAGCACTCTAATCAATCACTAAACAATCTATCAATGGAGATAGAAAACATGTGGCGGAAAATTTCATATGACGAAGGAACAATGGTCCGGAATCACTAATCAATCAGTCAAGCGAGCTAGAAAACATTTTGGTGGTGTAAAATTGTATATAACGAAGTTACAATCTTGTGGTATTTGCTTCTGTGGTATATGCTTCTGTGAGGCAAATCGTTATGCACTGATTTTCGACAAATATACAGAATGTCATTCACTGCGCCACAGTAAATAAACTTTTGAGTCAAACAGCTTGTTCTTATTATTAAAATTATTCATTGAAACTGTAAATTAAATCGATTTCTGTATGGAAATGTAGATGTGGCTAAGAGCATGTACGGACTTAGCGCTTCGGTCCGAAGTGTCGCGGGTTCCAGTCCCGTCTTAGTCATTGGTTGTTTGTCCCTTCCTTGTCTGTCATGTACGTGTCGTCTCGGAGGGTCTCGCGTTCTGCTGACTCCAGGTCAGAGGAGCCCGCAAGTGTGTTGGTGTCTAGTGTGTGGTCCTATATGCGTCCCATCTGGACGTAAAGGGTAACCGACTGTCGGTTGGATAAAACCTCACTGCAATAGAATAAACCTCTAAGGAAATGTTGAGATTGATTATTTGATTGTTATTGATTCCGGACACTCAACTACCGAGGTGATTAGTCCCGTAAGTGTAGTGCATGTTGGAAATGTAGATGTTAATAATAATTTGAGGCCAAACCACTGCTTTGAAAATGCTGATAAAAAATAAACTAGAATTTTAAGAAACTTGTCATGACCGTTTCCACACATTTTGATGTTCTTTAATACGAAAACCTTTGTGAGTTTCAAAAGACTGTCAGTAATACACTCTAGACTTCAGTAATTGAAATTCACCAACAGTCAAATGGGTAATTAAATATTAAAATGTATATAAGATAATAAAATAAATTAAAATTGAAGTAATTATCCCTTACATATTGGCTATCATTATATCAATTTTATGATTATATAATGATACAAATTACCTCCTTTTTTGAAATGAAGTTGCATATATTTCGAAACGCTCACATAGCTAAATATGATATGGATCTTTCTAAACAACCACATGAAATATATTGTGGCTGTTTTAAAACAGCCTCAACAGGTTCTATCAATTTTAAAACGAGGACATCGTGATCTAGCATTTTTTTTAAACTAACGACAAGATTTTAGAAGAAACGCAAATTTTACGATAAAGAGGATGGCTTCCCAACGAATCCGACTTGCAGTAGTTGCGAGTGCCTTATGGCGCGAACTAGTTTGTGGCCATGACTGTCAGAACCGCCCGTCCCATCTAGGGCAATATAGAGAGCAAATCCAGCGCTCCCGATGGAAATTCTTTGCACTACTCTCCGTCATGTTTTCCGTTGGCACAGCGTACTACAGGCTGCTAATGTCGTTTAAAAGTACACATTTTTGGGTTTTCAGTTCAGACTTTGTTTCAGCGTCTTCCTACAAATACAATATAGGAGATAGAAATTTTTATCCTTGATGAAATTGATTCTCGGAATATATCTTGAAATAAGGTCAGGACCATTTTTTTTAAAAATATGAATAGTTTTCGCGTATTTTTTGCGTAGTATACAGGCAATTTTTCATCATTTGTTTTCTCAAAAAAACATCCCCAATTTTTTCATTAAATTTTCTCTTCGTATGTATTAAGAAAAGGTTTTAACAATGGCATAGTCTCTTTTGCAGCAAACTCTGTATTTTCGAAAACTGCAAAAAGGTAACATTCCAAAACAACAAATTGGTTAGCTGAGATTTTGGTCTTAAACAAAATTTGATCTAAAATTTTATATCTACAAAAAGTGTCAAGAAAAATTTTTGGAAAAACATCCTGTAGCTATTGCGCAATTTCTGCTTGAAGTTAATTCAAACTATATAAAGAATTTTTTCCCAATAAATCTCTCAATTTTTTTCACGAATAGAACAAGGCAATCTTAAACGAAAGGTGTAGGTCTCATTTATGTTAAACTCTCTGAACTTTCGAAAATTGCATAAGCTTGACATAACATATTGAGGAAGTATGTGCTGCTGTAGCTCCATTAGTTTAACAGGAATGCAACTGAGTGTTAAATGATATCTATGGTGTTCTAGCTATAAATGCTAGTGCTTCCAGTACGGGTAAGAAAGGAATTATGGCGAACGTTTATGGGCTCTGTGATTCCATGATCCTGATGACAGGCGCTCTTGCTTTGATATCGAGAAGCATGGTCGGGTGGAAATCAAACAATGCATGAAAGAGATTTGTTGCTTTATTGTACGTCATGAAGTGTAATTACCTTTTGAGATAGTGGTTCATCATTCATTGATTCATTAGTTGCATCCTCCCGGCAGACCCGCAAACCACTAGTTCTGAAAACAGAAATCAAATTTGCATGTCAGGTGCGTTCGGAAAGGTTCCAAGAGTCTCCATAGCTATCCAAGCTATTCGACAAAATCTCCCGCTTACTTGTATTATTATTATAAACACTTTTACTCTTAGGCTTCACGTAGTTCAGTTCACACTCTACAATTGTATTGTTGGCTTATTATAAACATAATGCTATTAACTTAATTCTAAATATTACATTTCTGGAGCAGGAATTGATTTAGGGGGAGACCTCAGGGAAGCGATATTTCAGAAAAATTTGTAAGGAAGGTATAGAAGTGAAATTTATTTTTAAGGCGGGTATCTATCGTAAGTGGTATTTCTGCTTAACCGGAGTGAACAAATCCCGGTGATTCGAGATAAGCTATGGTAAAACTGTGTGAAGAGATTCGTGATGTTTTTTTTTCTGTTGTTGATTGCCTGTATGCGTCAAGGAGAGGAGAAGATAGCTACAATCTGATGTAGTCGTAACTTCGTGGAACAGATAACTCTCGTACCACAAGGAGTAATGTTTGCGCAGCGTATCGAAAATAGTGATAACCCCAAGATGTTTAGTTTGAAGGGTTAAAACCGTTTTCACATTTGCTTTCTAATACTATGATCAAGGCGGAATTTACTGTGAAGATGGCCTCTTTGGCGGGGGAATCTCAGGAAAAAGATCATAAACACTTTAAATCTATTCACATTCATTAATTTTCGGTAACCATATTGCACATGCACTTAACTGTGATATAAATATTAATTTTTGGTAACCATAAAATACACGCATTTAAGTTTGTCAAATAGACACTTTCCTCACATTCCTTGCCACAAAATCGTCAATCACATCCTCAAACTTACTTCTCACAGAATATCGTTATTGCTTCTTAAAACAGTGAGGTCGTTGAGACGTTGTCGAGTTGAAGTCCGAAATCTGTTTTTAACTATTTTTAATTTTGAAAACTATCTTTCAGCAGTGCAATTAGTAATCATTAAAATAAAATACATTTCAAAATGACTTCCGCATTGGGGAAAGCATCCTGTACTTGTTTTTGTTTTATTGTATTTTTTTATGTTACGGAAAAACTAGGCTATTTGAAGATAAAATAATATAAACATACAATTGAAACAAAACATTAGTATAAAATATATCATGTAACGTTACAAATATAAAATAATGTAAACATAAAATTAAAACAAAATATAAGTATAAAATATATAATGCAATGTAACAAATATAATTAAAATGCGTGATTAACAATGTCGTATTCAAATAACAAATATATGAATTTGATTTACATCGTAAGGCTTTTGTTACAACTCACAATTCTCCCCCATGTTTAGTATTTGGGCCGCAGCCCACATTGCTGAATCTGCGGTCCTGACTACGTTGATGGAACTGTGAGACCAGTATGTACTAACGCTATTTTTCATATGGAACAGACTTTGATTTGCATTTCTTCGACTAAAGCGGTCTACCAACATATTGCATTTATATAGGCGGACAATTGTTGCACGTGTTAATACGCTTAGAAAATATGAACCCTAGAATTTTTCCACCACACAAAAACAGTGCAAGGGCGAGATTGAACAAATTTTAGTTTTATCAAAGTAAAAAATCCACACGATTAAACCTATAATCTCTTATGTCGACATCTAGCGGTCAGTCTCACCTTTTTCTGCCGACAGAAGCAGTTGAGAATGGTCGACACGGCTTCGTTTGCTGACTCCTTATCGCAGCCTGAAAAGTAAGAATCCATCAGCACTACAACTCCAACAATGTAACGTTCAGGAATCATGATTCTTGGTCATGCCTCATGAATCGCGCTTTCTTTTTTGTTCTGGGTTTTGAATATTGGCTTACAGATAATATTTCATTAATAATGGTTCATAATTATTGATTATCGAATCATGAGCCAAAGCTCATAGTTCATGAATCGTGATTGCTGGTCAATAGTTCGTGGCTTGTTAATCATGATTCATGATACAATTTTCGCAGATATTGGTTCTTCGTTCGGAACTCGTATGTCATGGTGTGAGAGGTAGGGGATGGTAGGTGAATGACAGCGCGTTAGTGGGCAAGCGAGCAAAGGAAGAGATGTGTGAGAGATCAATTTTGAGAGTAGGCGATTTTGAATGGTTAGGCAAGTGGGCTGGCGAGTGAACGGGCGCGTGTGGGATTGCGAATGGTCAGGTGACTGGTTAGGGCGCGAGGGCGAGTGAGTGGGCGGGCGAGTCGGCAAGCGAGTAAGCGGGCGAGTGGGCGGGCAAGTGGACGGGCGAGTGAGGGACGTAGAGGAGAATGGGGAGGCGAGTGGTCCACAAGTGGAAGGGTAAGTAGGCCGGGCGAGTGAGCGAGCGGGCGGACGAGTGAGCGAGCGAGTGAGCGATCAGGCGAGTGAGCGGCCGAATGAACGGGCAAGTGGGCGGGCGAATGAGTGGACTTGGGGATGTTCAGGTGGGTGGGTAGCGGTAAGTGTGCGGTGAGTGTGATGTGAGTGCGAAGGCGAGTGCAAAGGCGAGTGCGAAGGCGAGCGCGAAGGCGAGAGCGAAGGCCAGTACGAAGGCGAGAGCGAAGGCGAGTGCGAAGGCGAGAGCGAAGACGAGTGCGAAGGCCAGTGCGAAGACGAGAGCGAAGGCGAGTGCGAAGGCGAGTGCGAAGACGAGAGCGAAGGCGAGTGCGAAGGCGAGAGCGAAGGCGCGTGCGAAGGCGCGTGCGAAGGCGAGTGCGAAGACGAGTGCGAAGGCCAGTGCGAAGACCAGTGCGAAGGCCAGTGTGAAGGCCAGTGCGTAGGCGAATGGGTGGACGACCCACCTTGCGCGTGGCACTGGCGCGTTTCGTCGCTGTCTTTGGCGAGGTTGGCGCACCAGGCTGCGTCCACTTTGTGCAGCCCCATCAAGTGGTCGCAGGCCTCCCGCACGTAGTCCATGTTCTCTGCCAACTTGCTCCAATTCGGCTTCCCGCTCGTCACCTGCACCAGCGCTTCCTCGTCCAGCACTCATTGGCACACGCGCGCGAGCGATCGGAAAGGCATACATAGGTACACACATGCGCAAAGAAACCATTTTTGATCTCAATTTTACTTTCTCGCCACCACTTACGCAGTAGAGAGAAAGTTATGTAAAACTCCGCGTAATGTTTAGCAGAAAACTCTTACTATAGGGGCCCTGTTAACGAAAAAGTGGATAAATCTAGTTGCTAAAGTTAGAAGAAAAAATCCTCTATTACGTGTTGTAGCCAGAATCCATGTTTTGTGGGTCTTTCATACCGAAAAATCGAATGGCGTCAAAATGTCTCTCCTTCTGTATGTCCGTCTGTCTGTGAACAACGATAGAGGATAATCCGTTCAGCTGATTTCCTCCAAAATTGATAATCCGCAATCGATCTAGCTGATGTCGCGGATCCTTGAATTTGAAACCGATATTTTAATTCTTGAGGGGTACTTTACATTTTCCCAATTTTCAAAAAATGGCTCCATCGTTTTTTATTGCATTTTGTTGTAGATAGTTTGAAGGATGTTTAAGAGAATTTAGCAGATCTCATTTTTGTTGAAAAGTCTGATTTTCCTAAAGTTGCACACATTCAAAATTTTGCCTGGAAGCCAAATCGTTCTTTGCTAACTCTGGCTGCACCCGTTTTTAATAAAAGTACTTTTTAAATAAGATTTATAATGTAGGAATATAGAAGTATAAAATGAATATGAAAATGCAAGGGAATTCAAAGAAGAATGACTTGTGTCGTATGTATAAGCTTCCTCTAGCTGCTTGTATTGTTCACAGACGGACGGATGGACTGACATACAGACGTTTGACCGTAAACCGATTTTTTCCTCTCAAGAACCTCCAAAAAAGGAAATTCTGACTACCCTATTTATTATAGAAAATAATTAACTACATTTAGGAGCAAGAATTATACGATTTTTCGGTACAATAGATTCACAATAAAAGTTTTATCGAAAAGGGGTAATGTTTCTTTGCAAATTAACAATACTTTCTCTTTACAACATAAGTACGACATAGGCGGGTTTTTGTGATGGCGAGGGTGAATGCAATTTTGAACCGTATCATTGCATAGTGATCACTTCAAACTCTCAGAGAATAAAAATAATTATTATTAAATGAAAAATATATAAATTCTGATAATTGGATTTTTGCCAGTTTTTAAAGTTCCAATTTTTTTAAATGATAATTTATTTAAAGAAATACGTTTTTAGTTTTTCTAAGACTCTAGCAACTGGAATTTTCTTCAGTTCGACCTCGTTCAAATTTGATAAGAACAAAATAAGTGGCATTTAAAAACGTAATTAAAATTAACAAATATAATTAAAAACAAGTGAAATTATATAAGAAAATTGTAATAAAAATACGTACCACACCCATTTCAGTCATCATGCAGACGACATAGCTCTGAAAAAATAAATTCATTTTTGTTTAACTCGCATTATACGTGTTTCTCACACTAAATTGATATTTGGTGAAATTTGTGATAGATTAAGAAATGCAAAACTATCTTTATTGTTGGGATTGTCAAAGACAATAATGAGAAATATAATCCGATTCACATTACTGTCTAATCAGGATTTCTTCCGAAATCGTGGTACACAAATGAACAAAATATAAATGTAAAATCTGCCCTCCCTTTTTTTCTTGCAATTTTTTCACAATTGACGCATTCTGGTGTAGGATATATCTCTGATATTATGTAATAATGGACTTACCACGCCCACTTGTAAATAAATTAAACATGGGCTCTCTTTATATCACGTTAGCTTTAGAGTCCAGAAAATTGTCCATGCAAAGGAATTCATACTTTGTTTCATTACTTATGTAAAGCACATTTAGCTAATACGATCATTGCAGTTTTGTAAGTCACGTGAAATGTCAGTTACCATTGAACCCAGTATCAGAACGCCTCTATTGTAATCATGTAAATGTGAATATTTAAGTGGTTAGGTGGAAGAGCAGGCATTACGGACTGAACATCGCCAGAATTAATTACTATTACTATTATTATTATTATTACTATTATTATTAAAATAAATTTTGTTGGGAGAACTGAGATTCGAGAGAAAATTATACAAAAACAGCCTAAATATCATTTTTGTATAACAATAGATGATTTTACAAGGAAAAATTACAAAATCCTTTTTCTTTTACTTCAAAATTCGCATTCATATCCGCACGTAGTCACATAAAATGAAGTGTTCCGTGACCAAAAGAGTGTTGAAACGACTGCGTTATGCAACACTTCCTTTCCATAACCACACTGCGTCTGTTACGTGTATGTGTGTTTGTGGCACTTTTGCGGTCGGTTAATACAACTTATGCCTGCTAGAAGTGTGCCCAGGTCTGGGCCCTATTTTTATGTTTAAAAAATTACACAAATGTAATTTTTTTAATTTATATCTTGCCGTTAATAAGCACATTTCCAGAAATTTGTATACACTATTGTATTTGTGAATTTAAGTGCTTCAAATAACTTTCAATAAAGTTTTTCGAAAACTCAAAACGTTTCTGTGAAAAAGAGCTTTAAGGTTCGCATTTACATTATCGCTTAGACGCCATTTTCTTGAAAACGGTTCCAAATTTTTCAATGAAAATTGCCATTCAGGACGAGGATTTACTCTTCTTTGATATGCTTAAAGTAATATTTCTATTCTACTATTAGTAAACCGAAATATTGAGAAAATGTCAAAAAAGTACTTTGGCCAGCGTTAGATGGCGTCTGGCAAGAGTATGTGGCAAGTCCGAATAGCTAGCCTAGACCAAAGAAAATTGAGAACTAATACGAGAAAGTTTGTGCCATTCTTTAACACCACTATTTATTTATTTACCACGCCTGGGAATGAGGGAGACGTGGCGAGCAGCTCTCCCTTTTCACGCACCCTTGTATAGAGCGATTTTTACAAGAATGGACCGTTTTGACAGCTAGTTCTGGCAACGTAACTGAAGGTTCTGTGGTCGTGGTGTCCTTCAGCCCATTTGACTCTCCTTTCTTCATTCGTTCGTTTGCAGTTGGCTAACTTGTAAATGGCTTCGGCGAATTCATTAATTGCGGATTGTAACTGACCGCCATGTTGCCACGTTACAATCCGCTTTCCGGGCCTCCGCACGTGAGGCCTTCTGAAAACTAACTCGACTCTTCCTGACTCTAGGCTTCTGTACTTTGTGGTCATGTGATCCCCCACCCCCAGGCTCTCTGAGGTGCCGCTGGAGCCACATGCCCTCCCACGGGGGGTCACTCACCAGCGCCCTGGTCACCCTGCGTCATGGGGGTTCACTCCCCCTTCCGTTTGGCCTTTGATCCTTCCCACGTGACTTCGGCCTCCGACGCCTATTGGCCGTTCTAAGGTCTCGCCGCCATGTGATCACGTAACAAGAGGCTTGAAAAATGGAATTTGGATAGACTTCGTGCCCGTTAAAGACTTTTTTAAGCATTATAATTAAGGTCGCGTTTGAACTACATTAAAGTCATATGTGACCACAAGTTTACGTTTGACAATGCTGCCTGTAATATTGTGAAAAAAGTTTATAAACGATGTTAAACAAAGTTTATAAACGACTAGACGATCACTACTCCTTTCAAAAATTGCCTTTTTCAAATTATACAAGTACGTAAAATGTTCTCGTAAGAACAAATTGCACAAAATAAAACCTTACTCACCACAAATTTATTATTAGCATCCACGTTGCATTTGTCCCAATCGTTCTTGAATTCTGAAATCAGAGAAGTAATGTAAGAGTTGTTGAAAAGGAACAACCTGATGCGACAACATACAGTTACAACTTAATTGATGAAACTCTTTGTTGAAAACAAACGTATAGAATATCCAAGAGAACTTGATGAAACTAATAATGCTACGACAGGGTATTATTTTTCATAATATTAGAATCGGATACGTTATCTACGTATCTTCGTCAAGAGATTGTACTGTGAAATTTCAGAAACCGAGCCATGATAAAAAGTTGTTATTTTTGCATATTATTATTATTATTGTTATTATTATTATTATTTATGGTTTAAGGATATGGTGACAAAATAATCGGTTTAGGTAGCTCATGTCACTGCAGTACGTCTGACAGGAAGGTCGCAAGGTTCGAATTACGACGATGTCAGGATGTTCGACCGTAGCTAACTACCTAGGTACTCTACAGGAACACAAATGTAAAGGCACTGTCAGGGTATTCTATATCCATTATTAATTGAATGGTTCGGATGTGAAGCATGGAAACCTGCGTGATAACGTTTGCAAGATATAAGCAAGAGAACATTTTTGCTGGAAGGGGTTTAAATGGCGGTACATAAAGATGACAACAACAGGGGAATTACTATCCGCCATACTTTGGATTATTTGAGAATCACAGCACATGGAAGGGTTCGAAAAATGATATCTAGCTAATAAGTAAATATCAGTAATTAAAAATTAGGGAAAAAAATAAAATATTATATGTTAACCACGGGCGTTAACTGGTTCTACTGATCACGAACGAGAGGCCCTGGGGCTTTTTATCGCCGCTCGGTCATTTAAACTCTTCTAACGTCCTTGGGGGGCGTTGTATTCTTGAAAATTTTCAATATATTTATATTACGTGAAGCAACGGCTGCTACCAAAGGCGTTTCAACACTGCCATGCTGGAAGGATACATTAGGAGAACGCTTCGCTATATCACCATTACAAATGAAATCATCAAAAATCTTACAGTGCTGATCAACGTATTGGACTAAATACGTGACTTAAACGATTATAAAGCGTTCTGGGAGGCATCTCACTAAAAGTATAGTTTAAATTGTTATGTCTGTAAATGGTACTGGAAATGTATACACGATTAATAAATAGTATAATGGGGAACAACAAATCCTTGGAAGTCCACAAAAAAACTCAACAAAAAAAATGATATGTTTGAAAAAAGACATGCATATTCACGCAGGGATACTCTCCGTAACACAACAGTAGAAGTTGGAAAATATCAAGACGTTGATCAGTGTGTACTCCAAACAGTTGCAATAGCTCCGATATCAATTTCATCTACAGTTAAAGGAAATGAGTGAGCGGGAGAACAGTTAAGTTAGGGATTGGTAATTGGGTTACTAGATTGGAAGTGGGAGTGGGAGCTATTGTTGGAAAGTAAGGAGTGATTGGAGAGCGGGTGAATGTGTGCGTGGCGAAAATTAAGGTAGCTGCCTGCGGGAGGAAATAATATCAAGTATATTTTGCCAGAGTAAATAATATCAAGTGTTTCTATTTTGTTTCCCTTGTACATATGATTTCTGTGTGCTCTTAGAGATGAAATAATTTTTAAAAAAATCTCTATTTGTTTATAATGTATTGGCGAAAAAGTAGATATTTACTTCAGACTTTCTAGCTCCACAACAAGTTGATGTATTTTGATAATCATTCTTTTTGTAAATTAATAACAAATGTATGTTCTAGAGATAGAACTAGAATAGTAAATGTACTATGAAACCTAAGAGTCAGGATTTTATTATTTTAGAAAAATTATATTTGAAATGTATTTTCGTGAAATTTCAGTTCATTTAACTGAACTTTTTATTGACACATTGACTACTCTAGTCCATTCTCTAGATCAAATCATGGGTGACAAGTGCAGAAAGAATTATATCAATCTATTTTACGGTTTATGTTTTATAACTGGCATGCATGATTGTTACGAAAATTCCCAATGAAGGAAAATGCATGATGAAGTTCACTCACTAAGTTGACAATATTGCATTGGCGCACTCGCTTTAAAAAATATAATTTGTTCAAAAACTAAGAAATGTAGAAAGAAATGGTTTGAAGCATTTAAGAGAAGCATGCAACTCAATAAAAATTGAAAAAAGAAGATAATTCGAGATTTTTCATCATTTTGAGGTAGACAACTATACATTAACTGCCATGGTCCCCAATTAGGGACCTAAGAACTTTTCCATTATTATGTGATACTTTGTACTCTACCTTACGATTTTTTTCTTCTATAGACGTAAACTTTAGACCTGACATATCGACTATAAATTGTTATATTAATTTCTGTTTTATTATTATATATGCTTATCATCGTATATTTTCAGTATGTTTAGTATGTTACTTTAGTTTAGTTACCAAATATGTTTAGTGTGTGTTAATCTGAAAAAATTGTAATATTATAAGTACGGTCAATGAACCTTACTCCTCTCGTGTTATTAAAATTGTATGTAACTTTGCCAAATGTTTATACCCAAACAAATTCCATAATAAAATATTATTATAAAAAATATAAATAAAAAATAAACGTAGACATCACAGCAACCTAGCATCCTAGCAACATAACAATTGATTAGCACTAAAAGTTGCGAAAACGTGCCACCAGAGGGATCCAACAATGTCTGTGCGCGGACGAAAACAAACGAACGCGACGACAATGAGTGAGCGCTAGGCACGCAAAATAAACTTGGCGGTTCGACGTGGAAGGATCCGTAAATGTGGTATATTGGGTTCGTAGAGCAGCAATAGGAAGAAAGTGGAATGGGAGTCTCTAGAATTCAGGAGGGCTAAGGCAAGACTCTGTGCCATGTACAAAGCGTATGCCGGTTATCCAGCTTGGAAAGATATTTTCATTCGACTCGATAGACCCACCTACTTTAGTAGAGTGGATTACAAGCACAAAATTCAGTTCAGAACACAGAGAACAGATGTTGGAAAATTTTCATTCACAAATAACGAACAATAACGAACTGGAATAAGTTACCTGCGGCAGCCATGGAACCCTTTCCTCTAGGTGTACAAAGTTTCAAAAGTAGATTAACTAAGGACATTGGTATAAGTTAGGCTTATTAAAATAGTTATTATTTTAGTTATATGTTTTTATAATTGTTATTTTTTAAATATTAGTATTGTGATAATCACTATTAAATACATTGGTTTGTTAAATATACAATTATATTTCAAGTAGTAGTTGAATTGCAGTGTCGTGAAGTGTTGTGAAGTGTAGTGCAATAGAGAAGTCAAGTGCAAGTGTAGTGTAGCGAAGTGAAGTGAAGTGAAGTGAAGTGGAGTGAAGTGGAGTGAAGTGAAGTGTAGTGAAGTGAAGTGCAGTGTATTTATTAGTTAAAAATTCCGTGCAGGGCAGTCATAAAGTGTATAGGTAATGCTGTTAGTTTTTATTGTTATATTGTTATTATTGCCTTAAAATGCTTTAAAATTACAGTGTATTACTACTCTTAGTTGTAATATGTAAAATGTAGTGTTCTGCCACCAGGTTCTATACCTACTTGCAGAAATAATAAATCTATCTATCTATCTAGAGTGTGTGGGCGGTTGAGTACCTGGCGGCACCTGATGTTCGGAGTCGCACTTGCTAGTCCCTTCCTCCCAGCGCTTAATCATGGCCGGGCAATGCTCTCCTTTGTCCTCGCACTGGAAGATGGCCGCCGTGTCCTGAAGCAGAAAGAGCACACTGTAAGGGCCCCTTCCCACGGCGCGGCCGCGGCGCGCTTCGCAGCAGTGCGGCGCGTAGCAGAGCATTGGTTAGAATGGAGGCCTTCCCACGTGCGGCGGGTGGCGGCTGCTGCGGCAGCCGACGCCGAACTCCAGCTACGCGAAGCGGAGGAGGGGCCACGCGCCACCGCTAGCAGAACACAGCTTTAAATGGGAGCGTTCCCACTGCGCTGCGGCCGCAGCGTTCTACCTGCTCCGGTGCCTTTGTTCGTCGTCGCCGGAGGGTCGGCGAAACCTAGCCCTGCAGACCCCACCCCCTTCCACGGCGGGCGGCGGTGCGGCCGTGGCTCCGGCGATGGCTGCGTCGGAAGGGCTCTGCTCCTTGAAGGAAGCGCGCCGCGGCCGCGCCGTGGGAAGGCGCCCTAACGTCGTGCCAATGGGCCAGATGGACCACACATGTCGGAAGGCCAGCGAGGGGGCAGGCGGCAAGCGGAAGGCCACCAGAGGTGGGCCCCTCCTCAAGGGCCGGGGTGGGCGTGTCTCGGAACGCGGGTGTCAACTGGCGCAGAGGGAGATGATGGGTGAGTACAGCCGCGATGCAGCTGGACTCCAAAATTGAAAACAGGCCCACGTTTCGGGATGAGAGGACGCTGCCGGCATGGGAGGTCGGTCACGTGACCCCTCGCGAGGCGGCTGGAGAGTAGCCAGCCGTGTGGTCATTCGTTGTCGAACGGAATCGCGGTGAGGAAGGCACTTTTTCACCCACCAAGGGTTATCGCGAGCTTCGGCAGCGAGGTGTGGCGGTTGCCACGGGACAAAAGACCAGGAGCGGCGCCAAGCCGCTGGGGTCTGCGTCAGACTGGGGCGGGGATGCCTCAGAGATGTGCCGTGCTGGGAGTGCAGCGCTAGTTTCCGAGGAGTGTGTGTATAGTGTGTAAAAACTTGTAAATAAATCTGTACAAAACAACTCCGTGTCTGGGTGTTACTCGCACCCGACGACGCCACAATACCAAACGTTAACGGAACTCACTCAACGAATCTCCCACCGAGTGAGGTGGCTAATGGCTAATCATTAATCACCAACCAATGTATCTGCGGTACCTCTGACCGGCAAATCCTAGGCTTCGTGTTCCGACAGCAGCGCGATTTTCGATACTGGATAGAGAGCTAGGTTGAGTTCAGTCGCTGTCCGGAGAATTCTAGCGGCCGGCTGCTCTGATCGGTAGTCTTTTTGTAGTTTCTCCGATCAACACCAGGAAAATGCCGGAGCAGTACCGTAACGGGCCAATGACAACGCGCGAACTATCCTTCCTCTCACCCCTTACTTACACACACACACTCGTGTACTCCACTATGACTGACATAAGACCGTCCGGGAACTTGTCCCGTCTGGTGTGGTGCCGCGCTGGTGGGAGACACCTGGTGGCGGGAAAACCCGCTAGCCCACAGATGGGCCGCATCTCACCATCCAGCGGAAATCACCTACCCCTCCCGAGTAAAAAATCTTGCACTACCCTTACGCGACTAATGACCTTAGTCATGAATCATGAAATAGCCCGGAATCATCAATCAATCAACCACTTTATCAGAATCGTAACAGACTTTTTTTTTTACCTGGACACATAAAACGGCAAGCGCCACGCTCAGAAGAACTGTAAATTGCATGCTGGCGGCGTAGTGGTTCTGTAGAGTCACTGATCTGACTGGCCCGATTTTATATATCTGTCTCTTACATTCCCCTTGCCCCCTCCGGGCACTCCTCCGCTCCCCGCACTTCCGTTGTTTTTGTACCTCTTCGGAGAATTGCCGACACAAAGAAGCGTAATGAGCCGTTTTTAACTCGGGCGTGGCATTGCATTGACGTAAATGGAGTGTGAAGTTAATCGTCAGCGTTGCTCTAACATTTGTAGTTTTTAGTACTTTTGAAGTCATTAGAGTATAAAATGTTATAAAATCAACTTAAAACGGAACTCGCTCGTTTCGGTAATTTGTATTCCCGGCTTCAGATGCTATCAGTTTATTTAGGAGGATTTTTGCGGAATGAATGGATGAATAAAGTGAAAAATGGACTAAATGCTTGAACACCGGGGAAGGCTAACATTATTGTTACCATAAAAATTGGGTAATGCATTACTACTGAAAAACTTATTTCTCGAAAATAATTTCTTGGCCAGAGTCAACTTGACGACATAAAAAAAATAATCATAATGCACTACAATAGAATGCAGATATTATGGATCTTGCGCCGCCGCCGCCGCACAAATCTATTCATTGCAAAAGTCAAAAATTTGACTGGCAATTTGCTGAGTAGGCGAGAATATGGACCTACGTAGTATAGGAGCAAGTTTTCTTGATATTCCATAGCGGGGGGGGCGGGGAGAGGAGGGCTCTGGTTACGTCACGGCTTAAAAGGGCGTACCAACTGTGGGCATTAACTTAACTTGCCAAAGCGAGAAACGAGAAATGCTACGATTGTTATGAAAGTACGAGGTGGTTGTTGCCAGCACTGGAAACTGGTATGTGCCGTTCCGAGTCGAACCTAAGTATCTCAACGTGCCGTGCTATTCAGCGCTAGGGAGAACCAAGGAGCTCGTGTATCAAAAAAACTTGCGTGAGTAATATAGATGGCCTAACCTAACGAACTCAAAAACATGATCTGCGAACAACGAATGGCCAAACACATGATACCACAACTCGTTTCAAGGAAATAACGGGGAGCAAATCATTGCATATACGTTACAACAACGCTAGAATTCCCTTCCAGACAGCGGATTAATTTCAGTAGCTTGTGTCGAAAATTCTGGTACCGTCGGAACTCGAAACCTAGGCCCTCCTGGTCAGGGGCAATGCAGTGACATCAGCCGATGCCCTGAGCCACCTATGCTAGTCATATCCAACGCGCGTTTATTCTATCTTGATTTATTTATTGCTTCCGAGCACAACAACTGTTATGGTCATTAGTTTCGTAAGTGCAATGAGTTTTTTCTCCTGGTAGATGGCAATGTTGCTTCCTCACTGGATGGTGAGGTTCGGCGTTGTGCTGAGAAATCAGACGTAGGCAGAGACATGAAAGAACAGACAGACAAAGAGGTACAGGGATACAAAGAGAGAAGGCGTAGGTAAAAAGAAAGTCAGAAACAGGAAGATAAGCAGACACCATCAGTGAAAGACCGTCAAAAACCATCAGATAGAGACCGTCGGACAGAGACCGTCAAAGAGAGGCCGTCAGAGAGAGAGAGAGAGAGAGAGAGAGAGAGAGAGAGAGAGAGAGACCGTCAGGCAAAATGAGACACAACCAAAGACAAACTGGCAGAAACAGACCGACAGAGACAGTCAGCGAGACATACAGAGGAAGATAGGGAGCAGAGCGAGAGAGAGACAATGAGTGACGGAAAGGGGAAGAGAGAGACAACATGAGAGCAGAGAGAGAGAAACATGAGAGCAAAGAGAGAGAAGGAGACATGGGATCAAAGTGTGTGTGTGTGTGAGAGAGAGAGAGAGAGGGGGGAGAGGGAGAGAAGGGGAGGGAGGGAGAGAGGGAGAGAGAGGGAGGGAGAGAGAGGGAGGGGGAAGGGAGAAAGAGGGAGAGAGAGGGAGGGAGAGAGAAAGAGGGAGGGGAAGACAGAGGAAGGGGAAGGCAGAGGGAGGGGGAGAGAGAGAGGGTGGTGAGGGAGGGAGGGAGAGGTACCGATGCAAAGCGACCTTCGACTACCACAATCCTTGCGTCCGGAGTTCGTTCCATTTCTGTTTTCCTTCTTCTTTTTTCCCCCTTTTGGGAGCGTGCGGACGGACGCGGGCGGAAGTCGCATCCTCTTGCACACATCATTTGGCGCACGGACGCAAAGCACCGCGCTGGAGGTTTTTCCCTTTTGTTTTCTTTTTTCTCTTTTTCTTCTTTTTGCGCGGCGCTTTGCCGTCCCGCTCCAGGCCCCTAGGCACGCGTCGTCGCCGCCGCCGCCGCCGCCCCGCGACGTGGCGCACACTTTCTCGCATGCGAGACAGTACCGGTGTTTTGTTGTTAATGGGCCGGGAATGAAGGAGCCGTTTGCTCGTACAAGGTGTACTTCATGCGGAGGCGAACGAGATTGAACATTTGTCCGGTGGACGAGTTTCAAATAATAATAATAATAATAATAATAATAATATAAACTACCATCCTTTTAAATTAAAATCATTTCCATAACCATTTTTTCTGTGCACATAAGGATCGTGACTCTTCTATGGGGAAAATTTTCCGATTGCCATTTTTTGTTGTACTTTGTAGGCCATTTTTTATTGTATAACATATACTACACTTTTATTTCACTCGACATGTATTAAAACAAAAGCCTCATTTTCGACCAGAAAAGATATATGATCTCCCGCCTCCATCAAATATGCGGTTCATGCAAAGTCTATCATCCGTGTTCTTGTTTCTATGTCTATCCACCAAGTCCAATTACAATTGCTGTCGTTTGCGTTCGTCAGTTGCAATGGAATGTTTTTTCGCTTTCTCGTTTACTTTCTATAGTACTCGACCCCACTCCTCTGCGTAATTATTTCAGTTATTTTTTTTTCGTTATTTCCTCTGCATTTTATTGTTTTTCAATCCCTCTCATTTAATTTTACATTTATTACTTACATAATTTCCCCTTGTTGCGTTCAATTGCTTTTCGAAAATATTGTTCCTTTTGATTTTCTTCCAAGACTTAAAGTTTACGTAAGTGTTTATAACTTTAACCCCAATCCTTATTTATTTATGCTGGTCTGTCTGTTGTTCAATACGGTTCCTCACCTCCAACTCAATATAATTAAATGCCACTTTTTTCGAATTCCTTCGCTTGATTACTACAATTATGTCGTTTCCGGGACTCTTAAAATAAATTAATTATTGTTATGACGAATCGCTATGGATCGTGTCACTTCGATGAGGAAAATTTTCCGATTGCAATTTTTTGTTATACTTGGGCCATTCTTTGATGTATAACTTACCATGCATGAAACATTGCGCGCAGGAAAAATATTGAGGTTAGAACGTATCGTTTGTCGTTCATTTTAGAGGTAACGCTTTTTGTTTAGAAAAAATTGTTGAAACAGTCAGGTTACTATTTCAACTTTTTTGAAAATTATTATTTCAAGCATTATGTAACAGACAGTAGGACTAAATAAATTCGAACTTATAGTGCTAATTGTACTCTTTAATATGACGTAAAGTTTATTTTGGTGTATATTTTTGTTTTTTCAAAAATTACACAAATGTAATTTTTTTGAAATTTTCTCTCAGGCTATTGAATGCACATGCATGACCCCGAAACGTGTATTTTCATTGAAATCTTGAAATCGATTTTCCGCAGCATTACATAACTTTCCCTATATTACTCCGTATATACGTACATATACGGGAAAGTAAAAAATAAATGAAAATAACAACAAACGTTCTTATATTTATTGGTCTAAATCCCGCCTATCCCGCCGAATATACTAAATTCCCTACAGTCTTAAAATAAATTGTAAATCAACTTTACCTAAAGGCGAGTACATTCAAAATTACCGCACAGGATATTGAATGAACCTAATTGGTTGAGAGTTCGTAGCAGCACCCACCATTACGATGACTCGCGTTGTAGTACTACCACTGCCCGTCGGAGTGCAGTAGTGAGGCAGAACTGACGCTGGTCGCGAGATTTAATACGTAGTTTAAGAACCCTGTGGCGGCCGGTGGCTCCAACTTCAAGTGTAGGCACATGCTTGCCACGCCCACTAACTTATCAACCATGATTCAAGAATGTTATCGAGGGTCTCCTTCCGTCATGCTATCAGCTATCACGTAGTTATTTCACCTGGGCAACAGCAGAATGTTCATTTGGACGATGCGGTGCCTATGTTTCCGTAACCTTTTTATTGCTAGGCAGTGGAATGAAAATTGCAATTAAAAGCAGGCAGTGCAGTGTTAATGCAGCTGCTTGTGTTTCAATTCTCTGGTGTTTAATCCAACATCTTTTGTAGCGTTTATGATTTTTACGCTACTCGAATTTTGTTTCACGATGAGGTATGTATGTGTGGTAGAATACATCCCAAATATTATATCGTATTTATTTCAATCATAATGGGTGACTACTTATCTTTGTTTTTAGCTTGTTCGTATGTGACTGGAGAGGAGTGCCTGTTCTAGATAATCTATATACCGCGTTGGATTATTTAACATGTTTGTGGACAACTTTAATATTTCATAATGTAAGTACATTCTCATATTTTGTTCATAGGATGTGATGTAATCTTATGGCTTGTTTATATTACACCAAGACGTATTATCTTAAACCCAGACTCCTCACATTTTTACTTACTTGCCCTTACGAAGGTGTTTGATAAGAAGAGAATATTATGTAATTGTTCGCTGGAAAACTGCGAATTTTCCGCAGAAAAACTCTTAATTGCCGGGCTCTGGCTACGAAAATGTGGATAGATCTTGTTGCTATTTATAGTGAATTACTTGCTCTAAGACGTGATAGAGCAAGAATCCATGTTTTGTGGATTCTTCATACTGAAAAATCGATTGACACCAATTTGTCTGTCCGGCCGTCTGTAATCAACGTTAGCACCTAACCATTGAGCCAATTTTCTTCATAATTGATATTCCGCAATCGATCTTAATGAACTCCGAGGTTTGGAAGTTTCAAACGGATATTTTGATATTTGAGGGT